ATTCTCAGGCTTTTCTTATCTGATTATATATCTGGGTACCATCCATGGAATTCTGAACTGAACCGTTTATTTAATCTACAGGGGTAGGCTTTTCTCGTTCCACTGCTTATGTCTAGGTATATCCTTTAGTTCTTTTTGTTTTGATTACTGTTCAGGAATTTAATGTTCCATTGTATTTTACCATCATTATCTTCCTCTTCTAAAATAGACTACCGTGTCACGCATGTCATTTGTATATATGATTAAACCAGTCAAGAATCTACATCAAGCAGCGAGACCTCTGACCAGGAGTTTTTGAGGTGCGTGGAACCACCTCTTAATTGCTGGTGTTCCCAGGTCCACCCCTGACCCGGGGTGGTAGCACCTGTTAGGGTCCCAGCCATGAAGGAAAAATATTACCAGAAACAGATTTTTGGCAAAACAAAAAATATTACCAGCCAAAAAAAAAATGTTGTCAGAATTAAATAACCCATTTAGGTTAATATGCCGTAAAACAAAATAAACCAAACCAATCTTAACCAAAGAATACATATTCGTTTCAGAGGAATCTATCCTAAAAATGCTGTCGTAAAACAAAATAAACCAAATCAAACCACTTTCGTTTCTATTATTATTATTATTATTATTATTATCATTGTTATTTTCTTTGATTTCTGGCGTTTACACATTTCTTTCCGGGTCCCGCCCAGGGACCTAAGGTTAGAAATGGCGTCATGACACTTTCCACTGACAAAAAAAAAAAAAAAAAAAAAAAAAAAAAAAAAGAATTAAATTACATAGATAAAGCCCTTCGTAAGGCGTGGGCTGTACTTGTCAGAACAATTTTTGTATCTCCTTGAGGCATGGACTTCCAGGAATCCTTCAATTAGTCTACTGCAATCTTTTCCAACCAGTCCTAGGGCTCCAACTACAAACAGGGATTGTTGATGTTCCCATATGCCACATTTATTATTATTATTATTGTTATCCTTGCTGTTGTTGTGGTATTATTATTATTATTATTATTATTATTATTATTATTATCCTTGCTGTTGTTGTGGTTTGCCTTTGCTGTGTGTAGTACGAACTGCCTCCGTGTCTCAACCAGAGATTTTAAGAGACAGCCAAATATAGTATCAGGAGATGCAGACAGATGAGATGCCGTGTAATCAGAAAAATATAACTGTGGTCACTGCATAGAAACAAATCTACGCAAGATGGGACTGTTATCTATGTGTATGATTATGTTGCAATTCTTATATTTCAGAGCTTTCAGGAATGCGGTCCACATATTTGTTTACTTTTTTTTATATAATTCTCAACGCTCCAATAACAACATGTAATCTTATTGTCTTGAGACAACACATTATGCTGACTTTTCTTCTTGTTCTTGTTCCCCTACCTTTTCATCTTCTTCTTTTTTTTTTATTATGGCCTTGGATTTCTGTTGTATACACATTTCCTTCCGGGTCCCAACCAAAGACCTAAGGCCAGAAATGGCTTCATGGCACCTTCCATTGATCATTTTTTTTGTAAAAAAATAAAACAAAAGACATAAACAAAAATAAGAACACACATCTTTTACATAGATAAAGCTTTTCGTAATGTCTGAGCTCTACGTGTGAATAGAATCCTTTGTATTTCTGTAAGGCACGACCAAAGAGGAATCCCTTCAATGAGCCTATTGGGAATTTTTTCCAATCAGTCTGAGGGCTCCAATACAACTGGAGTTATTGATGTCCTCATGTGTCACATTTTTCTTTTAGATTTCCACATCAAGAACCTAGTATTTTGATAGTTCTTTGAAGATCATCAAAGATACAGTACAATCTGCAAGGACTGTCATGTCAATAAGAAATCTCCTGTTATTGTGGTCTGGGCAATTAGCATTAATTGTCTGTCTGTGTGTATTGTAAAGTCCCATAAAATTGCTACAGTGCCACTTTCTATAACCTTGTCTGGGTGATGATCATACCAGTTTCTTTCAGTTTCCTTCGTTTAACACTTGCGTATTTTCCATTGAAGATATTGGCCCACTATTATTATTATTTTCTTTGATTTCTGGCGTTTACACATTTCTTTCTGGGTCCCGCCCAGTGACCTAAGGTTAGAAATGGCATCATGACACTTTCCACTGACAAAAAAAAAATTACCATCGTAAAGTGTGGGCTGTACTTGTCAGAACAATTTTTTGTATCTCTTTGAGGCATAGACTTCCAGAAATCCCTTTAATTAGTCTACTGGAATCTTTTCCAACCAATCCTAGGGCTCCAACTACAACAGGGATTGTTGATGTTCCTATGTGCCACATTTTTGAGATTTCTATTTCAAGGACCTTGTATTTTGACAGCTTTTTTTTAATATCTTCAAAGATACATTGCCGTCTGCAGGGACTTCCATATCAATAAGGAGGCACTTTTTTGTGGTCTTTAATAATATTATCTGGGCGGTTGATTGTTCTGTCAGTGTGTATTGTGTAGTCCCATAGAATTGTAACAGGTCCTATGTCCGTAACCGAGTTTTTGGTCTTTAATAACAATGTCTGAGCGGTTATTATTATTATTATTATTATTATTATTATTATTATTATTTTTGACAAACATACCGGATCATTACCAATGACAAATGGTAATCGAAGGATGTGATTTGTTTGTTTCGATTTAATAAAATGACATCTATGGAAGAAAAAAAAACTTACATTGTAGTTGTTATTCTTGGAATTATATTTGCTGGGAGGATGTAACATCAAGGATTTCGTTGATTTGTTCTTGACTTCCTTTATTTAGCAGTACCAAAGCTCCACTCAGAACAGGAACAGATTTAGTTTTTAACGTCTACGCTTTTTTTTTTTATCTCTAGGTCTTTATATTTGCTTAGGTTCTCAAAAAACTTCTCACAAAAGTTTTTTGTCAATTGCTTCTCTCATCATGTCAATAAGTATATAAACCTTTTTTCTTTCTCGTCTAGTTAGCGCGACATTGAAATCCGAAGACGCATTTGGATAGCCAAAGATGCTTTCCAAAACCGAAGCAACGTATTAAAAACCGGAAAATCTCTTTAGAAACAAAGAAAACATTGCTGAACTGTTACCTATTGTAAGTCCTTTTATATGGCAGTAAAAGCTGGACAATCTCCTCGCAGACGAAGAAGAGAATTGAAGCTAAGAAAATGTGGTTATACAGAAGGATAGTGAGAATACCATATAAGTTATTAAGTTTTAGAAAAAAATGAAAGCAAGAAGAACACCTATACGTAACATCAAAAAATGACAATTGAAATTTTTAAGGTGCATAATGAGGAAAGAGGGGTTGGAAAATATGACACTCGCAGGGCATGCTGAAGTCAAGAGGAACAGTTGAAAATAGTACATGGCCTAAATAACGATGTTGTGTAAATGGATGGCAGAACAGAGTTTAGGAGAGATAGCAAAAAGACAAAATTTGCAAAGGTCTACAAAGGACAGGAAACTGTGGAGAGCCATGATCGTCAACGTCTTAAAAGGACAGAGCATATCGAAGAAGAATGACAGTACTTATTTCAGACCAAAACATTACAGCCAAAATGACTAATTATCTCTTCTGTTTAGTTCTCAATCCCGGTGGAAATACGGCGCATTAGATACAGAAGGTACCAACATACCAAAAACATTTCGATTTCAGACATATATGAAGAACGTTAATACTTTCTACTATCTTCTATTTGTATCAAAGTTCTGTTTCAGCCAAGAACTGGAAGTATTTTTTTTTTTTTTTTTGGTATGGGGGTAAATTCATATTATTCCTCAAGAAAGTATGACTTAGCCTTTGGATTATACATCTTAATAGCTCCAGTTTTGGATCTACAGCAGACGTATTTTCCCTAAAACTCGGTTTCAGTCATCTCTTTGCTTATTATATATTTAATTCTTGCCAAATAAAAGAACTGTATATTGAAATGAATGATGATGAAACACGGAATATATTTTTTTTTAATTTCTAAAGTGTTTTCTTTCTTTAAAACGTGCGTGTAAATCTTTGACTAGTGTTGCTGCTTTGTTAATTCTCTATTTTTCGATCCGATCTATTATTGAAAGGAAATCAAATCTCTTTGACTTCGAACGTTGCTGTTTAAAAAGACTGAAGAGTTGACTTCTACATCGGTAATTATATTTTTGTATGTTTTTTTTTTTTTTCTATTTTTGATATGATTAAAATGAAAGAAGATCAGGAAATAGTCCGGTTAAATAAAGCAAGAATATCGAGTTTTGCAACTATATATATATATATATATATATATATATATATATATATATATATATATATGTGTGTGTGTGTGTGTGTGTGTGTGTGTGTGTGTGTGCGAGGAAAAAGAAGGAAGGGTGTAATATGCAAACGAACGGAAAACGAATGAAAGAAACGACCGAACGAACGAGCGAAGAAAAGAAGATGAAAAATATGTTAAGGAAAAAGAAAAAGGAAGGGAAAGAGAGATGTTAAAGGAAGAAAGAAAAAAGAAAGATGGGTGGAAAATATGTTAAATAAAGGAGAAAGCTGAAAGAAAGTTTTTAATAAATGAGTAAATAAAGAAAGAAAGAAAGAAAGAAAGAAAAGTGGAAAAGAAAGAAAGAAAGAAAAAAGAAAGAAAAGTGAAAATATATTAAGAACGAAAAGAAAGTGAAAGAAAAGTTTTAAAGAAAGAAAGAAAGAAAGAAAAAAGAAAAGTGAAAATATATTAAGAAAGAAATGAAAGAGAAAGAAAAGTTTTAAAGAAAGAAAGAAAAAGAAAAAAGAAAGAAAAGTGAAAATATATTAAGAAAGAAAAGAAAGTGAAAGAAAAGTTTTAAGGAAAGAAAGAAAGAAAAAAGAAAGAAAAGTGAAAATATATTAAGAAAGAAAAGAATGTGTAAGAAAAGTTGTAAAGAAAGAAAGAAAGAAAGAAAAAGAAAAAAGAAAGAAAAGTGAAAATATATTAAAAAGAAAAGAAAGTGAAAGAAAAGTTTTAAAGAAAGAAAGAAAGAAAAAAGAAAGAAAAGTGAAAATATATTAAGAAAGAAAAGAAAGTAAAAGAAAAGTTTTAAACAAAGAAAGAAAGAAAAAAGAAAGAAAGAAAGAAAGAAATAACGAACAAAAAAAAAACGAACGAACCATAGAAAGTGTGAGAGAAACGTTAAAAGATTTTGTTAAGGAAAAAACAAGGGAAAGGATGGCAATAAAGAAATAAACAAACAAAACAAAGAGAAAACAGAGACCTTAAAGCTAGAAAAGAAGTGAAATGAATACGTTAAAGAAAGAAAGAAAGAAAGAAACAGAGAGAGAGAAAAGTAAAAAAAATATATACCTGAAATAAAGGGGGAAAAGCTAAATGAAAGAGAACTGTTAAAGAACGAAATGCAGACAAAAGAAAGATGGAAACAAAGCGAAAGAAAAGCAAGAAAGAAAAGTGAATGAGATATAGTAAATAATAGAGAAGGGTGAAAGACATGTTTAAGTTCGCGTGATAAAGTAAGTGAAAAAGAAATATTAAAAGAAGAAAGAAAAATGTGAAAAAACGATATGGTAAAGAAATAAGAATGAAATCACTATCAAGGAACAATGTACATGACATGTTAAAGGTAGAAAGAATACAATACGAATAAATATGAAATATTAAAGGAGAAAAGATAGAAAAGGAAAAAAGATATAGTAAAGAAAAAAGTGAAAGAGATATTGTAAAATAAGATTCAAAATCTTTGAGTGAAGGAAACGCCGAATAAAAGATTGAAATTAAAAGGAAAGCCAAGACGAAAAGCAAAGTCGTAAAAGTGAAAAACAAAGTTGATGAATAACAAACTTGAAAGCAAGTTTGTGAGTGGGGAAACTGCAACTGGGCGCGGATAAACTTGCAACAAAAAAAATGATTAAAATATCCAATAAAAAATATATAATAAAAATCAAGAAAAAAAAGAAAAAAGAAAAAGCCTAAATCGGCTTTTTGTGGCTTTTTCCGGATAAGCGAACTGGCAGTCTGGTTTTGTACGGTAGAGTGCGCCACCTGGCGAGTGAAATTGGCAAAAGCAACAAAACTGCAACAATAGGACAAACACTATTAGCATCAACGCTGCTTTCAATACCATCAATAGCAGCTGCCGCCAAGACGTCTTCGTTATGATGTTAACGTCATAAGCATCATCATCATCGTCAACACTAGTTCTCTGCCTGCCGCAAGGATTCCTATTGGCACAAACTACATTGGCATTATAAGGACGATGAATATAATTAAGGCCATATGCGATACGTTTTAAAGTCAAAGATACTTAAGAAAAGCCTACCATACAAGCCAATTACCTGAAATTATCGATATAATAGCATTATTCTGCCAGTAACCTCTTTTTTTATTACCTGAACATAGACGACTCCTTTTCTTTATTTTGCATGCAATTCTATAATAAAATCATTTAGAAATGAAATTTTATAGTAAAATTATTGACAATTATTTCTATAACTAGCAGCATGGCCCGACGTTGCCCGTGCTTGATTCAAAAATCATACGACTCATACAGCAATCGCTATCACTTGACTTTTTGCCCTTCCTTGCCTTTAAAGGAGTGCCCTTTGCCGTGCTGATGTTGCTACATGCCTTACTTCTTGACTATCTCACACTGCGAATTTTTTCTAAGCTCTATACTAAATATTAAATCTGTTACGAAAAAGAACTAAACAAAATGAACACAAAACGATCAGCTTTAAAGAAGGACTCGTAACTGGAAAAACCGAATGAAAAAAGAATGTTAACAACAAATACTTTTTCACACCAAATCCAGTTCTGCGGAATCCGAATCAACGTTGAGTTTAAGCAAGCGAATGAGCCAATTGGAGTAAAGTGCCATGCAGATTTAAATTTTTCCCACTTATGACGAATGCAGCTATCGATTTTTTTTTTCATGCTAGCATGCTAGTTAACATTCGTGTCAGTCAGCTGTTGATTATCACGCTGGCCAATAGAATCTTCTTGCCTATTCGTGGCTCTCACTCTGGCCAATACAAAATGGCCGCAAACTACATGAAAACTGCCGTAGAAGCATGAAAAAATCGATTATTTCCACTATCGATGGGAGTTGGGAAATGCAAAGTCGGTCTTGGCCTTCCCGCTAACTTGGAGCATGTGCACGTACATTTTGGTGCAAATCCGTCGAAAATTGGGGCCGTACATTCGTTACACACACAGAAACACACACACACACACACATCCTGGCTTTTATAGATAGGGATAAAAAAAAACATTAGTAATGCATTTACATACGTTTTATAATAAAGAGAAGGCTGAAAGTAAATAGTTACATTTTTTTTTATCTACAGCATACGTATTTTCCATAAAACTCGGTTTTAGCTATCTTTTTTCTTATTATAAATTTAATTCTTGCCATATAAAAGAACTGAACATTGAAATGTATTATGATGAAACACGAAATATATATATATATTTTTAATTTTAAAGTGTTTTCTTTCTTTAAAACGTGCGTGTAAATCTTTGACTAATGTTGCTGCTTTGTTAATTCTCTATTTTTCGATCAAATCTGAATTAATTCTATATATATAAATCTATAGTCAAATTATTTACAATTCTCTATTTTTTAATGTCCTGTCTCTTCAGGATATAAGGGATCATTGTTCTCGATAGTTTCGTTTTCTGAAAATTGCCATTGATATCTTCGAAAAGATAGTTGCCTTTTTTTTACACTATTTACATTGTTCAGACTGTTGTCCTCATCTTTAGCGTCATATTCACGACTTTCTTCCGTATGAATTTCGAATCGAAACCTTTATTTAGTCCACCGGGGTAAATTGTTCCCAATCCACGTGTCATGCCTTTTCTGGATATCTCAGTTTCAGTTATTTCCCCTTAGTAACTCAACTCTCCAAGTTGTTGTTCACCTCTGCTGTGACCGGGTATTGAACTCACAAACTCTCTGGGTCAAGTCACTGGATTACTTCACCCAACGCTTTTATCCACCGTGCCATATCACCTGAAGAACGCCGGAGCGTACAACGGCCGAAACGTCGTGAGTATGACAATAAAGATGAGGACGACAGTCCGAACAATGTAAATAGTTACGATATTCCATCTCAGAAATTAGACAGATACTCCCAGATATATTTAGACAGAATTGTGCTTTTCGCGTATTTACTGTTTGTAAGGATGTTTTATGTGAGTAGTTTCTTTGTTTCCCGGGTATTGGTAATGTAGTTGACTTTTCTTCTCTTTGACTGGCTGGTACCAATTTCTCCTCTGTCCAATATATAGCCCATGGCTGCTAGTAGGAGAAACAAGTGATTCCTGTCTTCCTGAAGAAACATATATGCGAAAGTAAAATGTAAACAGCCTGGTAGAGAATTTGTACACGAGTCCCCGAATCCACTTCCCGACAACGATTATACTATTTGCACTATATCTTTTACTCCTATGTTTATTAGATGTTATTATTTGTTAACTCCTTTTAGACGAGGCTTTCAAATACATTTCTCTATTAATTGAACGTCTTGCTTCGATCTGGGCTTGAAATAAGGTTTGTCGTCGCCGTCTTTATCGTTCTGTTGCTAATCTTTTTTTTTAATCTGTTATATTAAACACATAACATATTTAACATGAAAATATATTGAGCAAAAAGCTATTTATATAATACTAGGAATATTGAACCATAAATACCATTGAACGTCTAAAATATATAATTAATCAAACGGTTTATAGATCTCTATTTTAGTTGTGAATTCTTTATCCTCGCTTTAATAATACAGACAAACCTCTCATCAACGGATTAAGGGGGTCCGTTAAAGCCGACTGTCCGTTGATGGGAATGGATTATTTTTTAGTTATAAAACCGCGATTGTAACTACCACTAGTCATTATAATAATGTGGATACTATAAAGATGTATATATGGTATAAATAGATATATACTTAACAAATATATATTAATCAAAACAACAAAATAAAAGATCTTTCACGGCTACTTTCTCAAACATGCGCTAATGTATCGTACTTTATATACTGTACACCAATCTTTGTTTACAATTGAAAAGCCCGCCACCGTCGCCAAGCGGTCACTTTGAGAACTAACACGACTCATTCCGCTAAGCACGCAAATTTTGAAATACATCGCAGACGATTTGGAAGTTTTTTTTCTGCAGATTTTTTTTATTTTGCCTTAAAGAAATACAAAAAAAATGTACTCACAAGACTAACTCACACACTAGACGAAGAGCTTTATCTATGTAAAATGTGTGTGAACCTATGTCTTTTTAAATGGGCAGCGGAAAATGTCATGAAACCATTTCTGACACTGGAAAGATAATGTGCATACAACAGAAATCAAAGCAAATAATAATAATAATAATAATAATACCCCCCCATTCTCTGAGATGCTAAAAATTATGCACATGAGTATCATGTATATATTCTGCCAATGCCATATACTCAATAACTTTTTGAATAACTAGAATTCAAACAAACATAATTCCAATAATACTAGGAGCACTAGGAATGATTAAAAAGTTTATTGATACTCGCATTCAGAAAGTTCCAGGAAACGGCTCACTCTCCGAGGTACAAAAAATGTAATCATGGCCACTGCGCACATTCTTCAGAAAAAGACTCTCTCAACCCAATGCGATATGCTGAATAATTTTTAAAAAAATTACTTTACCTTAAATCACAGGTTTAAACAATAGATAAAGGATTGTATCAAAGAACAAACTAGGAAATAAGAAGAAGAAGAAGAAGAAGAAGAAGAAGAAGAAGAAGAAGAAGAAGAAGAAGAAATACAAAAAGAAAACTGACACATGGCTACTTCTCACATCTTGCATAGATTTATTTCCATTCAGTGTCCAAAATCTAATTTTTTTCTCTCTCTCTCTCTCTGATTGCATGGCACATCATCTGTTTGCATCATCTGATACAAAAAATCGTGTTGTCTTCTGTAGATGTTGGTTGAGATATGGGAGACAACTCGTAGTACGCAAAGCCAAAGCAAAACCTAATATGATAAATAATAATAATAATAATAATCACATGAATATAATATGCATTCTTATTGTCCCTGTAGATTGTAATGTATCTTTAAAAGTCTTCAAAATACTATCAAAATACAAGGAACTTGAAGTTGAAATCTCAAAAATGTGTCACATGAGGTCATCACTAATTCCATTTGCAGTTGTAGCCCTAGGGTTGTTTGGAAAAGACTCCAATAGACTCACTGAAGCGATTCATGGTAGCCCAATCCATAAAGAAATACAAAATATTGTATACAAGTACAGCTCATACATTATAATGAGTTTTATCCATGTAATGTATGTGTGATCTTAGGTTGTTTAAAATGACATGGAACTGACCTTAGGTCTCTGGTTGGGACCCAGAAGAAAATCTGTATACAACAGAAATCAACGGAATAATAATAATAATAATAATAATAATAATAATAATAATAATAATAATAACTTTATGTAAAATATGTGCGATCTTAAGGATTTCTTTTACAAAAAATGATCAATGGAAAATGTCATGAAGCCATTTCTGACCTTAGGTCTCTGGTTGAGACCCAGAAGTAATGTGTGTGCAATAGAAATCAAAGCAATAATAATAATAATAATAATAATAATTATTATTATTATTATTATTATTATTAGTGAACTATGATTGGCAAAAGAAAATATCCTGTTCAGTACAACAGATTTAATTATCCTTTGCCTGACATTTAATCAGTTGGACAAGACTTCAATGGACTCAAGTATGGTGCTTATCCCTTCACGACTTGAAGTCGGGTTGGATCATGATGGTCGGTGTGTTTATGGTCAAATCGCGCTCAAAACACTGAAACAAACTTAACTAAACTTAAACAGTGTCAAGTTTGATCAGTACTTAGATGTGAGTCCGCTTGGGAACACCGGCTGCATTAAGCAATTTGCTTCAATCTGAAATATGTTCCGGCTTTAAATAACCCACAAAGGGTTGATAAGCCGTAAAATATAAAACGAATCGAATAAATCAATAGTCGGGTGTACAGAGGGTTGTTTTCTTTTTAAATTTAAGTCTAGAAACCACCTCCAACTGATTACGGTCAGTATGCTAAGACAGTCTCGAGTTGAGTGTGTTACCAAGTATCTAGATATGGCAATCAAGTCGCCTTGGCTCCCTCATACTTCAAATTTAAATCAAGAACCACTCGACACCTGGCCATGATACTACCTCAGTAAGCCCTTTCATGAGCAGAGATGCACAGTGCCCCAGCCTGTAGGGAAACTGCACAATTGGTGAAGCTCATGCAAATGACAAGCAAATATGTGCTACTGAACGGGATAGTCTAGTTAAAATTGTAAAAGATATTGAATAGATATCACAAATATCTCCTTTCTGTGCAAAAACTAGACTCACGCAGGCAGCAACACATTTTTTGTCGAAAAGTAGGGTCACATGAACTTCAAATTCACATTTGTTATTCGCATTAATTAACCAATCAAGGACGTTATCTAAAATGCCGTACAAGCTTTCAAAAAGCAAACGACATCCCTGTTGTCAACGAGGAAAATTTGAAGGTTCACGATTAGCAATAATTTCGTTCCTAAAAATCGATATAAAAATGGGAAATGTATTTATTATCCAATAAACTTCTAGTAAATCTAAATTTTAGCTTTTTGTAATCCGATTTTTTTCTTATAAACACCGTAGCGCAAATGACCAGAAATCATTTTAACCAGGGTTCCAAACAATATTGATTACTCAGCTTTTCGTATAATGTATTAAATTTAAGCACCTTTTTGCAAATATCTTCTCGCTTTTGAAATATTTCAGACAACGCGAAAAGCATATGAGCGATATATGTAAACAAAGCTAAATGTAACAGCAGTATCATGGACAGACTGCTAGAAAATACACGCTTACATAAAATAACGTAAATATATTTCTGTTTATACATTATTTTTATAGATACAAATATTTAATTAAATGGTTTATTAAATGTTTATAATGAACTGTATTAACAAATTTTACCGGTCAGAATGTCCGAGAAATCTCATAAAGAATATGTTTCCTCCGATAGGAATCGAAACTGTATCTCTACACGGAACCGTCATATAACCTGACACACTAAACCATTTAGCTACAGAGGTAGCGCTTGGATGGCAAGGTCAAATTACTGTTTTTAAACTTCAAATTTCTTACAATTTCTCTCGTACGCTCATATCTAAAACAGACAGTCGCTTCTGAGCGATTTTAAATTTTACAGTTTTGCGTTCTTGTTCAAATATGGTGATAAGCGAATTCTTTTTTACTGGTAAATTTTCTGTCAAAGTGGCATGAACTATATTGTTCAATAATTACAAACTGTAAAATTTAAAATCAAACTCAGCGTTGCTACTGCGCGCTCCAAAAACAATAACTCATTTCCAATAGCATTTTCGGATACAACAATACATATATTTTCGTTGTCCTCTTATTACTAAGAGAAAAAAAACAAGAACAACATCTATTCCATACCTGAAGATGTCTGTAGGAACAGACGAAAGCTTGTAGTAAAAATAAGAACTAATACGGCAAAAATTTATAGAAACAAGGATCTTTTCATTCATAACGGATTCGGAGGTTTTTGTATATTATTTGAATTGTTTGCGACGATGCATTTCTCGCCAATTAAATCATTAACCTTTGCATTTGTTTTTGTGTGAATAATTCATGAATTTGTAAATTGATTGCACGTTTATCGTAATTAAATATATGAATATAGATCCGACAGTATAAAGAAAAATACAAAAAAAACAAACAAAAATCTTAATATGCAATTATGCTGTATTAATGTTAATATGAAGTCGACGTCGGACGTTTCGGTCTATTTAAGACCATCTTCATGGACATTTTCATTTAAACATAATTAACATTAGAACATATAAAAATTTAACACAAAAGACGATGGACATAAGAGCACAACTAATCCAAACAGATAACTGAAATTTTTATATAAGATCAGCGTTCCGTTTAAATATGATCACGTTGTCGTCACGTGGGCGATGTTGTGAAAACGTATTCGAAGATGATTTCAAAATATTATAATATTAAAAAAGTCGATTGAACTATTTTATATAAACAGTTCAAGAAATCCCTTCCGTTGAATATAGGAATACGTAGAGATCAATAGGTTCTTATATCTTCATACAAGCTTGAAGTCCTCCACGTTACAAAGCAAATCAAAAATGATTTCAAAAAACGATGGAAGAGTTCTAAAAAACAGTTCGATAATAAATCCTTTCCTTACTTGATCAATAGATTCATATATTCCCCTCCAAGCTTGAAGTCTTCCATGTTATAAAGTAAATTCAGGTTTGTATTTCCAGTAGACAGTATGTAAGCAAATATATGGATATAGATCCGACGTCGACTTTATATTAACATTAATACAGCATAATTGCATGTTAAAATTTTTGTTTGTTTTTTCTGTATTTTTCTTCATACTTACAATATATAAAATTAAACCAGAAACATGGATTAGACCTTATACTTAACATCAGGAAGAGGCAGCTGAAGTTCCCGGGACACATTATGAGGAAGGAGGGCCTGGAGAATCTGATACTCACGGGTCGAATAGAGGGAAAGAGAGACAAAGGAAAACAACGCATGCCATATCTAGCGGGCTTGAGCAAGTGGATGACAGACCGTGGTCTGCGGGAGATGGCAGAGGGAAGGAACTTGTTGAGAGCAGCAAGGGAGAGAAGAAGGTAGAGAGCCATGTTCACCTACGTCCTGAAAGGACACGGCACATAGAAAGAAGGAATAAATTATGTCTAATCAAATCAACTATTAAATCAAGATGACAAAATTACTCCCTAAATCATATACCAATTTAAAAATTATGTTAACGCCCAAAATTAATTACCTGAATGGGCTTTTATATAATTTAATTGTCCCTCTAAAATATTCCACAGAAAATACGAGAAAATTCTAGAATTCTATAGTATTTTTAGCTTAATTTACTAATATTAAAGTGGGTTAGAATTAACAAAATTAAAATATATACGTAATACAACAATGCCATAACAGCAGGTACCTAGATAAAATCTAATTTACAACGGCAAATAGAATTAGCGAGTATTAAGAAAAATCCTTTTGAGAATACGATGAAAGAGGAGCAAAACTGAGTGAAAATTCGTGCTCAGCACATCCAAATTCCATAGAAGTGTCAAAATTAATTCAATTGACAAAAAATTGAAATTTCCTCCCCAGTATTATTGTATTTAAAAGACAATTCCTGTAAAAATCCATTATTCATCGATTTTTTCCTTAAGACGATAGTCTCTTTAATATATGTTATTCATAAAAGCAATTAGCAGTCTTAAATATATTGTATTCTTATTTTACGATTAAGAAAAGATTTCTGGTAACAGGGGGTTACATTTAACTAATATAAACATTAATCTTTACTTCATTGGATTCCTTGAGTTTTTATCAAATTAAATAAGTGGGGAGGTAACAGATGTAAAAAACATAATAATTTTTTTTTCAAATTTCTCGAATAATGTCATTTATTTGTGAATAAGTTCTGAAAGTTTCATTAAAATACGATAAATATTTATTTTTTGCAAGAATTTCCAATCAATGAGTTTTTCACTGCAAAGAAAGACGCTAAAATTAGCAAATGCTAATTTATATCCGGTCTCTTGAGGCAAGAAAAAACATTATTTTGAACAAAGATTTCGAACGTTCTGAAAAGGATTTAAAAATATAATTAAATAACCAAAAAATAATTAGGTCTTTAGTCTTAATAACATAATGATTTTGACGATAAAACATTGTTCTTTTTTTTTTTTTCAAGTTTGGGGCCTCTTTTTCATCATGCTCATATGCTCTTTTTTCAGTTAATTAGCGGAGGTACCTACAGTAGTCTATAGTCTGCAGGCATGCGCAAAGCGCTCTCACACACATAATCTTACAAACGCAGACATAAAGAAGAAAAACCCCGGTCCACCGGCTTATTTCTTAAATATAACGTCTTTAAAGTAAGGATACTTAGTCGTCGATATCAAGGTTTATGGTGTTCGATAGTAAAAGATAAAGAATTGACAGTAACGAATAAAATTCAATGAAATTGAAATGTCTGTTCCAGAAAGTACTCAAAGAGTGGAGAGAATAAAAGATAGTGGGGAGATAAGAAGATGAAGAAAAAAAATCTGAGAGCGATGAGAAGGGGAATATATAGAGAGGGAGGAAGGTAGAAAGAAAGAGAGAGAGAGTGAAGCAGAGAAAGAATTGAGAGATTTTTTGGGGACACCCTGTATTTTATAACAGAATTAACAACAATGGGTTTTATCTGTAGTTAAAGGCATACAGTTGCATTCAAAATATATTTATTTGAAGCTATATAATATTTAGATTTCGGTATTAAATAACCCATAGAGGTGTTGATATGCCGCACAACGAATTCAACCAACAATACAATCAACATGAAAGAATTCATTATGTCATATAATATCCTAAAATTTCTTAAAGAAATCAAGCTGTATCTGTCTATATTTCTGAGATGAGGTATTAGGTACACTATTTACATTGTTCGGACTATCGTCCTGATCTTTGTTGCCATATTTATCACAACGTTTCGACCGTTGTACGCTCCGGCGTTCTTCAGGTTGTTGTAATGTTGATATCAAGGTTTACGGTGTTCAGTAGTAAGAGATAAAGAATTGACAGTAACGAATAAAATTCAATGTCTTCTTATCACGTCTCTATTCCAATTTTCATGGAATAATAAAAGAAGTAAGTATATTCGTACAATTCTTACTGATACTGAAAAAAGAAATGTCTGTTCCAGAAAGTACTCAAAGAGTGGAGAGAATAAAAGATAGTGGGGAGATAAGAAGATGGAGAAAAAAAATCTGAGAGCGATGAGAAGGGGAATATAGAGAGAGGGAGGAAGGTAGAAAGAAAGAGAGTGAGAGAAAAAAATAAGAAAAGAGAGAGAGAGTGAAGCAGAGAAAAAATTGAGAGATGTTAAAGAACAGCAAGGCCTCCGATTTGGTTTGGAGGGGTGTGAAACCACCTCAATTGCTGTTGTTCCCAGGTCCACCCTAACCATGGGTGGTAGCACCCGTTAATTGTCCCAGCTATGGGCAAATAGGAAACCTCCAAACTAAAACAAAAAACTGTGAAAGTATGAAATTCATTTTATATTTAAAAAAAAACAAAAAAATCATCAATACGCATTCATATACAAAATCTAGTAGAAATACCACTACAGGATGTTCCAAAATTTTGACATAATTTTAAAAGCAATTATCTTGAAAACTACTAAGTCTAGCTCAACGAAATTGAACATTGTATGTGTTGAACGTCATAAGTTTATTATGGAACCGATTTTTATAAGTGTTCAATATCTGCAACACTTGTGACATGACACACGTCAAGTTGGTATTAGGTTGGTGCAAAAATAATGACGTAATGATGTCGTTTTTTGACGTTAAAAAATACGCCCCAAAACGACATTATTACGTCATTATTTTTGCACCAACCTAATAGTTACACTCTTGCCAACCACGCATGTCTCCGGTAACATTATCCAACGTGGAAGTGATTCTCAGAGTTCATCAATGCTAGCAGGAAGAGGGGGCACATATACCAGTCCCTTCACATATCCCCATAAAAAAGAAATCACACAGGGAGAGGTCCGGTGACCGCGGCGGCCGTTTCATCAGAAAACTTGTCTTCATCTCCACCACGCCCGATCCAACTCTCTGGAAGATTCGAATTGAGATAAGCACCTACTGTCCTCTTCTATTAAATATACAATCTTGATCTGTTTCTATACATTCTGTGAAAATCTGAGATTATTTCAACAAGGATTGCTAAAATTATTGGCCTGCAAAATGATGTCAAATTTTTGGGGACACCCTGTATTTTAGAATAGAATAAACAACAATGCGTTTTATCTGTAGTTAAAGGCACACAGTTGTATTCAAAATATATTTAATTGAAGCTATATAATATTTAGATTTCGGTATTAAATAACCCATAGAGGTGTGGATTATTATAAATATTATAAATTATAACTTTATTTGTATTTGCGATAGAAATAATCTGTAACAAATGTTATAAAGTTTAATGTACCTAGTTTTAAGTATAGCTAAAATAACTGATGTGATTTCAGGCATTACTGTAAATCAGTTGGCAAATGTTTTCCGTGAACTGCAAAATCGTATTGCCCTTTGTATTGCTAATGATGGAAGACATGTGGAAACTTAAATAAAATTTCAATAAAACTATGAAATATATAGATTTACTTCTTTCTAATCCTTTTTACAGATTATTTCTATCGCAAATAGAAATAAAGTTATAAATATTTTGAAGTGCACACGAACTTTATGGACACCATGTATATAAAAGCTGTTTGGTAAAGAATGCCAAGATTTCTCTAATGTGGAGTGTACCCGTGTAGGCAGTGGTATAAATTGACAGGTCCTGTCGAGCGCTATCAGGTCGAGTCCTCTATTGTGCAATGGGGGTGCTGCTGTCACAAAGTCGAATCCAGATATGCCGCAAAACGAATTCAACCAACAATGCAACCTACATGAAAGAATTCATTAAGTCATATGCAGTGTAACCCGGATATAAGAGAATTGTCGGGACCGGAGAAGAAGTCTCTTATATCCGGGTTTCTCTTATATCCGGGTTTGGTCTAATTTATATACATTAACACAGGCTCTAATTTGGGACCAGGGAAAATCTCTCTTATGTCCGGGTTTCTCATATATCCAGGTCTCTTATATCCGGTACAGTGTAACCCCGGATATAAGAGAAACCAGATATAAGAGATTTTCTCTGGTCCCAAATTAGAGCCCATACTTTCTAAACAAAATAGACCAAACCCGGATATAAGAGACATCTTCTCCGGTCCCGACAACTCTCTTATATCCGGGTTAAACTGTAATATCCTAAAATTTCTTAAAGAAATCAAGCTGTATCTGTCTATATTTCTGAGATGAGGTATTAGGTACACTATTTACATTGCTCGGACTATCGTCCTCATCTTTGTCGCCATATTTATCACAACGTTTCGACCGTTGTACGCTCTGGCATTCTTCAGGGTGTTGTAATGTCGAACTGAACTCTTTAATTCGTTCGCTGTTGTAGACTGTTCTAGTTCCACGTGCTATGTTTAATGGATGTCAGTTATCAGTTATCTCCTGTGAAAGCAGAATAACATATATGTTTATCACTTCAACGCTCTCAAGAAAATTAAATTTTGGCATTAAATGACCCACTAGGAGTTGATATGCCGTTAAACAAACAAAACAAACGAATCATAACATACTCTCGTATTTCCTACAAAACCAACGCTAAAGTCTACAACACACATTCTCCCTGGAGTGGTTTACCGCTTGGATTCTGTAAGCGATTCATCGCCTACAATAGTCTCAAAGACCGCATATGGATACAATTCCTTCTGGTTTGATCCAGTGGCGTAGCTAGAGTAAACGTCACCCGGGGCGGTCCGCTCAAATGTCACCCCAATGACCCCGATTCACCCTATGCTAAATGGTTAGCTGTAGCTAAATTTTCATACGTGCTCTACCTCTACTTTACTCTACTGACCGGTATGTTACTGTTTACATGTATGATCCAAGATAAAATCCAATACCACAAAATAATCAGTTCAAATAAAAAAGATTTTTAAAATGCAACTGTTCACTTTCAGAACGACTAAATAAAAAACCCGGCAATACACAAAAGAATGACATTCGATACTATGGTCTTAGAATGAATGTTTTCTTGTTTTCATTGTGGCAAACTGGTCAATGACATCGTCAAAATCTGTTTGTCTTGTAAGCTCGTTTTCAATGGACAGCACAGCCAGATCCGACAGTCTCGTCTGGCTCATGGTTGACGTAATTTTCTGTTGCTAATTTTCCGGTGTCCAATTTTTCGTTGCATCATTTTCTGGGTACCATTTAATTATCAATGATGTTTGAAAGTATTTTTCTTGACAAAAATGTTCTATTTAATATTTAAGCATTTTTCAGATCATTGTAAATCAACTGCATTCTTTTAAAGGTTACCTAGAGAATTTATGGAAAGTTTATTTTTTTGTTTTTCTTTATACAAGTAAAATAAATTTACATCGTATTTTGATGTTATTATGATTTTAGTTTTAGTGATAATTTAAAAACACTAAATATTTATCATTAGTACCAATAATGGAAAATTAAGTTAAAAATTTAAAAAGAATCGTTTTTTGGAATCGGAAAATAGGCACAATTTTTTCCGATTCCGATACCATTTTCGATACCCCAAAAAGTTCCGATTTTTTTATTCTCGATTCCGATTAATCGTCCCAGGACTAGTAGATATATTCAAAAAATTATATCGCTTTACTCAATGGAAAATTGTATCTCAGCGAATTGATACACAGACAAGACTGGAATTGTTTGCACTTTTTTGGCTTCGTATTTCCTTTGTTGTTATTAATGATGCAGAGTTAAAACACCATATCATCCGATAAAATGTTACAACAATGTCTTTGTTAGTAACCAATATTGTAACAATTGAAACACGTGAAAGCTGAAAACATTGCTATTTTCCTACTCACAAATTTCCCCGACAATTTATTAGAAAATTTCTGACGGGGGGAAAACTTTGGGGGGTCATAAATTATTTCAGGGGGTCATATGCCCGCCTGCGAAACCCTGTGTCTCCACCACTGTTTTCAGACTATTTTTGGCACATTAGCCTGGTTGAAAAATTTTGTTGGGGGTGACATTGTGTCACTCCTCCTGTGCTGGCACCCGGGGCTACGCCACTGGTTTGATCCCACTCGTCCTTTTCATAAAGAATAAACATAAGTGTTAAATTTACAAGAAAAGGCCCCGACTGTATCGCTAAACAAAGAGGCTTTATATCTCTATCGCTACTTCCATGGTAAGTGTTCAACGGAAGCACATTCCACAAGTTCTAACCTTCATGGCTAAACCACGCAGACTGTAGCGAACCACCCTCATTCCATTCTTATTCTATTGGTAAGATGTAAGTTTCCATCGAACAGCTTCTTTGTGGAACTGACTCCCAAGAGGATGCTTCCCTGATCATTACAATCTTAAACTGTTCAAGTCTAGGTCAAAACGTTATCTTCCGTTATCTTGACTCTTACCTCTTACTCTGCAAACCTCTACCTCGAATGGCTCTTGGACCTTGAACTGAGTGAACATTATTATGAAAAGATATGAATTAAATTTGGCAGAACAACATAATGAAATGGACACAACTCGATTATGGGTTCTTAAACCAAGCTGAACACAGGAATCAGTTTCGTTATTTGAGCGCATATTCTGCTATTTTTTATTATAATCAAATTTACCCCAGCCAAGGCAGTAAAGCCACTAAGACACAAGGGGTTACCAGGTATAAAAGAATTGGAAAACAGAAGCATGACAAGAGAGAAAAATAGAAGAGTAATCCGAAAGTAGATAACGATAAAAATCGCATTTAAAATTTTGAAGATCAAAGTTGGCTGGAAAGCATGCAGCCCGAAGAGAGACCCAGAAACAAGAACTGGGAGAAGAGAAATTATTAGCATAGAACTTACGTTTGCATCTAGTCAGTTCAGTTCTAGTACAGCACTTAAATTTATAAAATCTAGGCACTACAGTGAAGAGCTGATATTGACCCGACCTCCCTCCGAGGCAGGATTTGGCACAAGCCGGGGTTTTATGTGAGGGAATCCGAGCTCGTAGGCTCAGACAAAAATTCCCCGTAGACCTCGCATACACGGGATCGGGTTTGTGTACCTGCCCAGGCGAGACTCTGCGCTTAGGCATAGCCCCGTCTGGGCTCCTCACTGCCCGAAGGCAGAGAGTTCGACAGACTGTTTTTCAGGAAGAACACTATAGCGAAGAGCAGTATTTCTTTGTAAATATTACAAAATCTGGTACGAAGCGAAAATGGGGAATAGGAAAAAGGACGGTATTCTTCTCTCTTAAATTTAAACTTAGCTAGCCACGATCACTAACCCAAACATATCACAATATTTCTTGCCCCAGAACAGCACATTCTTACTTTTCCCATTTTTACACCAAAATGCCTCAATATGTCTATGAAAAACCTAACTAGTACCCAGTAAAATTCATGTCTGTGAGAGAGCAATCACCATGGAAATATTTATTAAAAAGATGCACAGGTAAGCAACTTTATGGCGGTATCAAAATGACTGAAGCCGGGTTGCTAGGTTAGAACCAATAATATTGCTGATTCTTCTTTGGATTTTTATCAAGAATCTCCAGCAGGAACACCGGACCATATGTGACAGCAGTATTCTAAGCATGGACGATATTTAAGATAGATACTGAAGAGAAAATTATCTAACACGACACATGTAACCAACTTTCGTAGCAGCTGATTTAGCGATACAGTCTTTCCACTTCATGTCAGTCGAGAATGTTAGCCCGAAAAGTCACAGCGAGTCATTCTTCTGAATGTTAACATCAGCCATACTGATGGAAGGCAGAAACGGGTCTGTCAGATTGTTCTATGATAAACCCTCTACGCTGAGCGGAACCCGGACCTTGTGTCTGGTGAACAGTAATATAAAGAATTATATCCTCTCTTCATGAGACTTGCTGGCCATTTTGAATTTATTTCCAGAAATCATATTTTTATTAAAAGATTTTATTTAATGCCATAAACTTAATTGAATTTCTTCTTCCTTAAAATATGTTATTTGATGAGACAATCTTTTTGTATTTTTTCTGTTATATGTATGAGATAATTGTCTATAAGTATGTGTATAAAATATGTGTATAAAATATGTGTATATATACATATATTTGTGTTATTGCCGTTTTCATAAGTAATGATAAACAGCAATGCTTTCGTTTTTCACAATGCATATCTGAATAGAGAATTGAATCATGAACGATGACGAATCTTTACAGATTCCTTTAATTATTATCTGCGAATTGCCACGTATTCTTGGGAAAGATAGTAGTGTGGTTTCACGTTACCTTTTTCACTACTTACAGATTGAAATTTGAATATTGTTCAAAATATATTATTTCGAAAAAATCATCAATCTTTGAAGTTTTTTTCTTATTTGATTTTATTTTGTTTTCACATTTCTTTCTTTTTTCTGGTTTTCTTTCTTTCTTTTTTTCTTTCTTCTCGTCACATTCTTTTTTTTTGTTTCTTTCTTCTCATTCTACTTATTTCTTTCTTACTTTCAAGTTACGTTCTTTCTTCGTTCATTCTTCTGATTACATTTTTCTTCTTTCTTTCTTTCTTTCTTTCTTTTCGTTGAAATATTCCACTTTCTTCCATTCTTTCTTTCTTCTCATTCCATTCTTTTTTCGTGTTTCTTTAATTTTTCTTTCTTCCCTTTACACTCTTCTCTTTTCTTTCTTTCTTTCTTCTTGCATTCTTCCTCTTTCTTACTTTCTTTCTTCTTATTACATTCTTCTTTCTTTCTTTCTTTCTTTCTTTCTTTCTTTCTTTCTTCACGATACATTCTTCTTTCTTCCTTCTCGTTATATTGTTGTTTCTTTCTTATTACATTTTTCTTGTTTCTTTCTTTCTGTTTTCTCGTTACGTTCTTTTCTTTCATTCTTCCCATTACATTCTTTCTTTCTTTCTTTCTTTCTTTCTTTCTTTCTTTCTTCACATTACATTCTTCTTGCTTCATTCTTTTTCTTTCATTCTTTCTTTCTGCTTTTTCGTTACATTTTTCTTCTTTCTTTCTTTCTTTCTTTCTTTCTTTCTTTCAATCGGCTGTAATATTAATAGGCTCTCTTTAATCATTTCACCCCAAGCAAGGTGATAATGCCATCAAAGACGTAATGGGTTACTGAGAATGAAAAGGAATCAGAAGAGATTAAGAGAAGGAACCGGAAACATAATCCTAAACAAGAAACAAAGGATAACCCTCTACTCCTGTTCAATATGGTGCTATTAGGACTATATTTAAACTGAACACTAGACGTCTACTTAATACTATACTATACATTTTTCTCCCTATTTTCTCTCTTCTTAACTCACTCACCATCTATCTATCTATCTATCTATCTATCTATCTATCTATCTATCTATCTATCTATCTAACCTTATTTCAGCCTGTCAGCCAACTGTTGTGTCCTTATTGTCTCGTAAAAAACAAACAACCCACATCCCCTCCATATGCAATCGGTGAGAAGTTCCACTCGAGCAGCTTCCTCCCACGAACCACTGCCCTGTGGAATCGACTCTCAACAAGATGTTTCCCCCATCCCTACAATCTTAACCTACTCAAGGCGAAGGTTAATCATTATCTTCCTCCCATATGCACACAAATGGACTCCTAACTACCTCGAGTGGCCCAACGGGTCCTGTAAAGTGTGACTCTCACTGTAAAAAATATTGTTTCTATTTTGTTCAAACATGATAATTATTCACTTAATTCTGTTGGCAATGATCAGTATTTCTGTTGCTGGCTGTTACAATGAAGATTCTGCCCGTGAATCTCCGTCTCCCCTGCCACCTGGTTGGGTTTACTAGGGTCTTGTGTCGGCACGCGTCTCTCGCTGTTCCAATCTTGCTTTCACAAAGCTTGTTTTGACGGAACTGTCGTTTGTTTACCAAATTATTTATTTAATTTGTTGAAAAACACGCAGCTTTCCTTACGCTTGCAAAAAAAATAGCAATACTCATTTTTTTCCTTCTTTGCATTCATTCTCATATTAATTAATTCTGCTTCTCTCTCCCTCTCTCTTCCCCCTCTCTCCCCCTCTCTCTCTTTGTTGCATGTCCACCGGTTTTTCTTTGTTTTTCCTCTTTCTTTCAGCTCTCTTTCTTTCTTTCTTTCTTTCTTTCTTTCTTTCTTTTTTCCTACATTCAACTCTATTCTTTCTTTTATTCTTTCTTTCTTTGTCATAGTCTGTGCTATTGTGTATCCTTCATTATTTATTTATTTCCCCCTTTTCAACCCATTTCTTTTTTTTCAGTTATTTTCCTTTCTTCCTATCTTTCTTTTTTTCTTTCTTTCTTTCTTTATTCAGCACATTTCTTGCTTTCTTTCTTTCTTTTTCAGCTCATTTCTTTCTTTCTTTCTTTTTTTCTTTCTTTCTTTCAGTTCTTTTCATTCTTCCTTTATTTTCCTTTTCGTCACTTTTCTTTCTTTCGTTAGTTCTTTCTTTCTTATTCCTTGTTTCCCCTTTTTTCCTTCCTTTTCCCCTTCTCTCAGCTCTTTTCTTTATTTCTTTTCTTTTTTTCGTTTTTTCATTCTTTGTTTCTTTGGGATCTTCTGTTCACTTGTGTGTCCACCAATATTTCTTTCTTTCTTTCTTTCTTTCTTTCTTTCTTTATATTCAGCTCATGTCTTGCTTTCTTTCTTTCTTTTTTTCAGCTCATTTCTTTCTTTCTTTTTTTTCTTTCAGATCTTCTCTTTCTTTTTCTTTCTTTTTTTCCTTCATTCTTTCTTTATTTCTTCCATCTTGCAGCTTTTCTTTCCTTCTTATTTCATTATTTCAGCTCTTTTCTTTCTTTATTTATTTATTTCCTTTTTTTTTCTAATCTCATCTCTGCAGTTTCTTTCTTTATTTTCCTTTCTTTCAGCTGATTTTTCTTTCTTTCCTTCTTTCAGCTGATTTTTCTTTCTTTTTTTCCTTCTTTTTCCTTCTCTTCAGTTTCTACTCTATCGAGCTACCGCTTACTATCGCTCGATTCCCTTTCCTCTTTTCTCTACGAAATTATCTTGTTGAGCTTTTAGCTAATGCGCGTTTTTTTTTTTTTTTTTTTTGTTGTTTTTTTTTTATCGATTTTCTGTTCGTTATTTAGCTTCCTTCTCTATAATTGGTTGCCGACTGGGCTAAAAATCTTTCATTTCCTGTTTGTACTCCACCGGTTTTTTTTTTACTTACTATCACTCTTTTGTAACAACTTCAATATTTTTCCTTTTCTTTCATTTTTTCTTTTCCTTCCTTTTCTTTCTTTCTTTCTTTCTTTCTTTCTTTCTTTCTTTCTTTCTTTTCTTTCCTTCTTTCTTTCTTTCTTTCTTCCTCATCCACGTCATTGATTTGTTTTCACTTGATTTAATTAGATTTGTTGATTCTTTTTATTTCTTTAATTATTCCTTCACCTTATTTAGCAATTGATTTCATTAGCTTTTTCACTTATTCATTCAGCCCGCCTTTTTTAAGTCTCTATTCTTAACTATTCTTTCTTGTGAATAACGTGAAGTCACTGATTGATATTTTTTTTTTCTATTTTCTCTTTGGGCTTCGTTCATTTTCCTTAATTGAAAAAAAAGTAAGTTAAATTCAAATCTTTGACTTTTCTTTCTTGCTTGTTTTTAGTCATCGCATTTTAATATTTACTAAGCTTTTCTTAAACAGATTTAAATGAAGCAAGTAAAAGAATAATGATCATGTTGCGTCAGATTTTCAGATATTCAAAAATTTTCTCTATGTCACTGAAATCGGGTATTAAGATTATTTATATTATTACTGGTATTAGGTTGGTGCAAAAATAATGACGTAATAATGTCGTTTTTTAACGCATTTTTTAACGTCAAAAAACGACATTATTACGTCATTATTTTTGCACCAACCTAATATATAAGTACTATTAGTTTAGAGCATTTGGGTAAACATTTACTTAATAGATACCTCAACGTCACATATAAGACCGGGGCCCTGTTTTTAACCATTAAAAATATATGCATCTTATATACAACCAAATATTTCAATGTTATATGCTGCGAATGAAACTCTATAATCAGACGTTCTGATCCAAGTTAAATAAAAAAAAAAGATAATATAGAATTTTCAATATTTACATTATTTACATTATTCGAACTATCTTCATCTTCATTGCCATATTCACAACGTTTCGGCAGTAGTGCGTTCTGGCTTTCTTCAGGCGATTGAAATTTCGAACCAAAGCCTTTATTTCGTCCACCGGGGGAAGGGGAGGGGGTAGATTGTTTTAGTTCCACGTGCCATGCCTCTTCCGGATGTATCAAGAATATATAGCCCAGTGAATGAAGACGTTGGTTAGATCCAGTGATTAGACTCAAAGAGTTGTGAGTTCAATACCAGCCTGCAGCAGTGGTGACCCAAACTTGGACAGTTGAGTTAAAGGGAAATAACTGAGACATCCGGAAGAGTCATGGCACGTGGAACTGGAATTAGCCGAAGAAGGCTGGCGCGAACAACGGCAAAAAGGTTATGATTATGGCAATGAAGATGAGGATAACAGTCCGAATAATGTAAATAATGTAAATATTCAAAATTCTATATTTTCTTGGAGCCCTAGGACTGGTTGGAAAAGATTCCAGTAGACTAATTGAAGGGATTCCTGGAAGTCCATGCCTCAAGGAGATACAGAAAATTGTTCTGACAAGTACAGCCCACACCTTACGAAGGGCTTTATCTATGTAATCTTTTTTTTTTTTTTTTTTTTTTTGTCAGTGGAAAGTGTCATGACGCCATTTCTAACCTTAGGTCCCTGGGCGGGACCCGGAAAGAAATGTGTAAACGCCAGAAATCAAAGAAAATAATAATAATAATAATAATAATAATAATAATAATAATAAATAATAATAATTAAAAGAAAGAACTTGGTATGAACACTAATAATAATAAATTAATGAAAGAAATTGGTATGAACACCACCTAAACCCGGTTACGGAGATAGGACCTGTTATTATTATTAATAATAATAATAATAATAATAATAATAATATGCCTACAAGACTAAAAACAAAAAAATGGCTCAAATCCAGTCAACTGCTTACGGTTTGGATGATTTTGTATTTCTTTAAGGCATGTGCTACCAGGATGTCCTTCATGGGTTATTTTATCCCAAAATCTTCAACTAAACATATTTTGAATGCAATTGTATCCCTTCAACTACAGATAAAATGTTTTGTGTGTTTAGTAATTCTACTTTAAAATTGTATTGTTGGTCATTTTACTTTATGTAAATTGTAATGTTAGTAACTGCTTTTTGATCTAAAAAGTATTGATGGTAATTTTACTATAAAATGTACTTTTATTCTTTTATCGTGTTTTGGTTTGGGATTTTACTATTTGCACATAACTGGACCCTAACAGATGCTACCAATCCGGTGGGGCTGGCGTCCTGGGTAAGACGATAAACTACGTCCAACAGCAAGGCCTCTGATCAGGAGGTTTTGAGAAGCGTGGAACCACCTTTTAAATTGCTGGTGTTCCCAGGTCAACCTTGACCCGGGGTGGTAGCACCTGTTAGGGCCCCAGCTATGGGCAAATAGTTAACACCCAAACTTGTGTAAAAATAGGTTTTAATACCAGAAATACTTTGTAATAAAAAAATATTACCAGCAATAATTTTTGAAGGAAAAATTATCAGCAATACTTTTTAAAAAAAGTACCAGTAATACAAAAAGCTATACATTCTTTGAAAAAAAAATGTTATCAGCTATAGATTTCCTCAAGGAAAAGTATTCCCAGAAGTAAATTTTTGAAGAGAAACATATTGCCAGTAATAAAAAATCTTGTCGGCATTAAATAACCCATTGAGATTGATATGCCGTAAAACAAACCAAACCAAACCAAACCAAATCAGGTGGAGCTGGGAACAACAGAAATTAAGAAGTGGTTTCCCGCCCCGGAAAACCTCCAATCTACCGATCGCGGACGTAGTTTATGGTCATACCCAGGACTGTGTCGGTTATGCCATAAATTTAATGCTTATTATTTGACATGGCAGATTAGGACAATATATTCATTGGTATGTTTGTTCGACATATGGCATTGCATTCCCGGATACAAGGTACAAACCCTACCCTAATGATGTCACGTATTGTGATGGAGTGACTATAATGTGGAATTTCCCAATACGTGTATATATATATATATATGTATTGCTGGCCACTTGTATTCGAGGATACCCGTCTACTAGGGTGGCTAGCCAATCCCTATTGCAGACGCTTGCTCAGGCGCATTTGTGTTTATTCAACACCCGCAGAGCCCACCTGTGGTTTATACTGCAGCTATGCTGAGCAGACCTTAGTTACAGTTTCTGGGAAAGAGAGCGTTATCTAGCATGATCAACAATTTGAACAAGGCCATCACGCTCAATCCCTCGGCCACGATGACTTGTGATTTCGTGCTAGCGGAACTATCGACGGCTACTAAGGTATCTGTCTTCTTAATTTCACTTACAAGGCTTAGGTCAACCCGTGGTATGGTTTTCAGGCCGATAACATCCTGACAAATCGACCATGGTGGGTCTTATGGTTAGAATGCGAATGTTCTAACCACTCGGTCATGCGCCCTTAGATTACATACAGGCAGGGAAATTGGTGTAAATAGACCAGGCATCGTCAGATGAGATTGCTAAAAACGAACCTGACCATTAATTGATATGACTTGCCTACAGGTTTCCAATGTTTCTAAAAAAAAAGACCAAAAATTGTCAACTTATAAGGACCAACAAATCGAAGTAATAAAAATGGGGACGCTTAAAGCTACAATTATCCGTGTCTTGATAGTGACGTTGGATATGATAAAGAAGGGGTACAGAAAATCATATGAGTCAGATTCCGGGAAACATCAGAACTGTAAAATACTATTTTGTGCCGAACTGCACATAACATCCGAAAAAAACCCTCTACCTAAACCTGACATCTCAAATGTGCATAGAAAACTCGCCTACAATGTATTTTTTATTGTTAGACTCCGGAGGGGAGTTAGTAGTAGACACTTACAATTACTCTCTGGCAAAATGATACGACATACTATTATAATAATTGATATTTGATCGAAGTAGCTAAGTGGTTTTGGCTACTATAACCCTTTAAAGACAAGGAAGTGAAAAATATTTTAAGTCAAGTGATAGCGATTGCTGTATGAGTCGTACGATTTTTGAATCAAGCACGGGCAACGCCGGGCCATGCTGCTGATAATAATAATAATAATAATAATGATAAATTGATCATCTTGTATCAGGTTGCAAAACAATTGATCATCTTGTATCAGGTTGCATGATATTGGCATCCACTCAATATAAAACCCCAACATTGGCCAACATATGCACTGAAAAAATCTGCAACTTCTACAGGAAGGAAACTGAAAGAAACTGGGTATGAACATCACCCAGACCCGATTACGGAGATAGGAGCTGTAACAATTTTATGGGACTACACAATACACACTGACAGAACAATCAAAGCTATTCGCCTTGACATTGTCATTAGGGACCGCAAACAAAAAAGTGTTTCTTTATTGATATGGCAGCCCCTGCGGACTGCAATGTATCTTTGAAGATCTTCAAAAAGCTATCAAAATACAAGGAACTTGAAATCGAAATTTAAAAAATGTGGCACATGGGAACATCAACAATCTCTGTTTTAGTTGGAGCCCTCGGATTGATGGGAAAAGATTCTAGTAGACTTATTGAAGAGATTCCTAGAAGCTCATGCCTTAAAGAAATACAAGAAATTGTTTTTACGAGTACAGACCACACCTTACGAAGGGCTTTTTCTATGTAAAATATTATAATAAATATGACAAAAAATGTCGTGATGGCATTTCTAACCTTAGGTCTCTGGGCGGGACCAGGAACGAAATGTGTACACACCAGAAATCAAAGAAAATAATAATAATAATCGTAATCAAATACCAAAAAAACAATGTGCTTTTTTTATCGACATGGCAGCTCCTGCAAATTATAATGATTCTTTTAAGATCTCAAAAAAAAAAAAAAAAAACTATCAAAATACAAAGATCTTGAAGTGAAAATCTCAAAAATGTTCCACATGGGACATTAATAATTCCAGTTGTAGTCGGAGCGTTCGGTTTGATTGGAAACGGTTCCGATAAACTCGTGAAGGGCATCCTGGAAGTCCATGCCTTAAACAAATACAAAAAAATGTTCTCGCGAATACAGCACACGCCTTACGAATGGCTTTATCTATGTAACCTGTCTGTGATCTGAGGTTCTCTATTTTGTATACAGTGTAACCCGGATATAAGAGAAACCCCGGATATAAGAGAGATTTTCTCTGGTCCCAAATTAGAGCCTGTGTTAATGTATATAAAATAGACCAAACCCGGATATAAGAGAAACCCGGATATAAGAGAGATTTTCTCTGGTCCCAAATTAGAGCCTGTGTTAATGTAAATAAAATAGACCAAACCCGGATATAAAAGAAACCCGGATATAAGAGACTTCTTCTCCGGTCCCGACAACTCTCTTATATCCGGGTTACACTGTATATATATATATTTTTTAATGATCTCATGAAGCCATTTTTTAATGATCGCATGAAGCCATTTCTGACCTTAGATCTCTGGTTCGAACCCGGGAGGAAATGATAAATCACCCTTATTCCCTACTGATATCTTTGGAAAAAAAGGACGTTCCATTTTGATAGCTCTTTCATCAAAACCGCTACTTTGTGAAAAAGACACGCGGCTCCCCGTAATCTCCTTCATCACCCTAACCTTGGTCGTTATCTAACTTCTGTCTTCCTCCTCTTACATTTATATAGTACACATCATTCAGCAAACCTGAATCATGAATGTCTCCCTGGCCTTGTACTGGTTTAAAATTAGCATGAAAAAAAAAAATCTGTAGCCACAATATTTTCTGAGGATGGAAGCTATGACGGATGATCTAGACTAGAAAGAGAATTTTTTATTGATTGCCAACCGGTCACCCATCTAGGTACTGACAAGGCCCGACGTTGCTTAACATAAAATGGATGAAGCAATGATGAAAATTATCATGATAGGGATACTGAGAAGAACTGAATGGTTCTTAAACGCCATGATGAGTGTAAGACCTTAAAAGGCATTTAATGAAAGATCTACCAAAACAATTGAAGGTTTCTTGACTGGGCCTGTCTGTTTATTCTTAATTTGAAATTCGATCAAAAATGATGGAAATCAATGAAAAATACGTTTACTGAAATAGAGACATTCTAAAGAAATAAAGGAAAATATAATAAAAATCTCAGAAAAATGTTTTGTTTTATAAAAAAAAAAGTGATTCTTATTGCATTAGAATTTATTTAATTTTGTGTTCGTCTTTCGCATTTGATTGAAAGAGAGTTTGTTTTTTTTTAAATCAGTAATCACCATTCAGACGTTATTTAGATATGTGATTTATTTTACTTCTTTTTTGTTGTTGCTTGTCTATCGGTTTCTCTCTCTTTGTCTCCCCCCACATCTTCCTGTCTATCTTTCCTTCTTTCGTGCTTTCTTTCTTCTCTACTCTACTATTGCTTACTCCCTTTCTGTCTTCACTGTTCATTTTTCAATTTTCTTTCTTTCTTTTTTTTCAGTTCTTTTCTTCCTTCTTTTCTTTTTCCTTTCTTCAGCATTTTAATTCTTTTTTTCTTTCATTCTTTATTTCTTTCATTCTCCATTTCTCCGTGATATTCACTGTTATCGTGAATCTTCCGATATTACTTACTTTCTCCTTTCAGCACTTTCCTTTCTTTATTGATGTTCCTTCTTTCAGCTCTTTTCTTTCTTTCTTTCTTTCTTTCTTTCATTCTTTCTTTCTTTCTTTCTTTCAGGTCTTTTCTTTTTTTTTCATTCTTTCTTTCTATCATTCTTTCTTTCTCTGTGATCTTCTGTGCCATTGCGAATCCTCCAATATTTCTTTCTTCTTTCAGATCTTTCCTTTCTTTATTGATGTTCATTAATTCAGATCTTTTCTTTCTTTATTTCTTTTTCTTTATTTCTTTCTTTCTTTATTTTCTTTCTTTCTTTCAGTTCCTTACTTGTACTTCTTTTCTTTTCATTTATTCATTCCTTTCTTTCTTTTTCCATCTTATACTTCTATTCTTTTCTTTCTTTCTTTCTTTCTTTCTTTCAGTTCCTTTCTTTCTTTTTCCATATTGTACTTCTATTCTTTTCTTTCTTTCTTTCTTTCTTTCAGTTCCTTTCTTTCTTTTTCCATCTTATACTTCTATTCTTTTCTTTCTTTCTTTTTTCTTTCTTTCTTTCTTTCTTTCTTTCTTTCTTTCTTTCTTTCAGTTCCTTTCTTTCTTTATCCATATTGTACTTCTATTCGTTTCTTTTTCTTTCTTTCTTTCTTTCTTTTCTTTCTTTTCTTTCTTTCTTTCTTTTTCAGTTCCTTTCTTTCTTTTTTTTTTATTGTACTTCTATTCTTTTCTTTTATTCTTTCTTTCTTTCTTTCAGTTCCTTTCTTTTTTTTTTTCCATATTGTACTTCTATTCTTTTATTTCTTTCTTTCTTTCTTTCTTTCTTTCTTTCTTTCTTTCTTTCTTTCTTTCTTTCAGTTCCTTTCTTTCTTTTTCCATATTGTACTTCTATTCTTTTATTTCTTTCTTTCTTTCTTTCTTTCTTTCTTTCTTTCTTTCTTTCTTTCAGTTCCTTTCTTTCTTTTTCCATATTGTACTTCTATTCTTTTTTCTTTCTTTCTTTCTTTCTTTCAGTTCCTTTCTTTCTTTTTCCATCTTATACTTCTATTCTTTTCTTTCTTTCTTTCTTTCTTGCTTTCAGTTCCTTTCTTTCTTTTTCCATATTGTACTTCTATTCTTTTCTTTCTTTCTTTCTTTCTTTCTTTCTTTCAGTTCCTTTCTTTCTTTTTCCATATTGTACTTCTATTCTTTTCTTTCTTTCTTTCTTTCTGTTCCTTTCTTTCTTTTTCCATCTTATACTTCTATTCTTTTCTTTCTTTCTTTCTTTCTTTCTTTCTTTCTTTCAGTTCCTTTCTTTCTTTTTCCATCTTATACTTCTATTCTTTTCTTTCTTTCTTTCTTTCTTT